TCGCCACAGAGAGCCATTCACATAGTTTTCCATTAAATTACATTATATTTGTCCCAAATCATTGTTAATGTACATAACGACTTCAGATTGCACTTTCTCTTTGAGTTTGCTTTGTTTTTTTTAAACGCCAAACTTCAAACTCATACTTTGTTCATCCTTGAAGTAAACTTTTGCATCCGGTGTGTGATACAGTACTCATAGATGCACTTTTGTCCGGTGAGCGACCGCCATATATTTATTTTAATTTTAATTATTTTTTATTAGATAATCATGAAGTGTTCTAAAATAGAAGTAAATAAAGTGTGAGAGTATATATATATATATATATATATATATATATGTAATTTCAATGCTATGGCTTTTGTGTAGATTTAGATGGCATGACTGCTGAAATGGTAACACTTTACAATGAGTCCATTTTTAACATTAAAATTAATGAAAGCTGTATAAGTATTGCTCCTTGTTAGAGTATGTTAATTTCAACATTTACTATTACTAATCAATTTTTACATTTTAAAGTGTCATCTGTACATTAGTTAATAAACTATGATCTTTACAAACTTTAATGATTAATATAATAATACATTTTCATATTTTTTATTCATTTACAAAGTATGGTTCAGTACTGGCTTTTTAAAAAAATAGAAAAGCATTATTTAATTTTTCATTCAGTATCCATTTTAAAAACATTAAAAAAATCGGGTGATTAATCGGTATCATCCAGTGTGGTCCAACCTAGCTATCGGTATCAGTAAAATCCACTATCGGTTGACCTCTAGTTTGGAACAACTTAAGGGTTAGTGAATGATGACAGAATTTTCATTTCTGGCTGAACTATACCTTTAAGGAGAAATAAGAGCAGATCCACAAGTGAATTTACACTCCTACACAGACAGAACTACTGCCAGCTCTGTTTTCAGTGTTCAGATACTGCTTTAGTAAATGCTCAAAGCTCATAATTCCACTCAAAACACAGGAGAATGACATCAAACTCTCTCTCATGTAAAAATATCACAGTGATGGCATACAGTGGCGTACCGTATATCTGGGGTAAATCTGCATGAAAGTTTGTTGAGCCAGTCTTGAGTCAGTTTCCCTATATTTACATGTACTTAATTTAACAATATAAAAGCCTGAATTTGCATACAGTGGGGTATCAGTAGTATATAAATTCAGCAAAATTCTTTATAGAAATACTTGTAAATATTTTTCATAACTGTTCAATGAACCATACACAATTATTGCTCTTGCAGCAGTGGAACAGTCCTAAAGACAAACTGTTTACAGGCCATAGGCAATGAAGGTCACAGTTGTAATAACTTAGGACCTTTCTGCTAACTCTAAAAAACACCAGAAGAAAGATGCCCAGGGTTCCTGCTCACCTGCGTGAATAAGCCATTGGCCTGCTGCAGGGAGACATAAAGAGTGAATATGTGACCAGAGCAATAAACTGGCATATCTGTAATGAAAGATGTCTAAGACAGTGCTACAGGAAGACAGGAAGGACAGCTGATTGTTTTTGCACACATGTAACCCTGTGTCCCCTCAGATGTGATCAAGAATTTGCAAGTGAAGAACATCCCCCCCCCCCCCCCCCCTGAAATGTT